TGTGTGTGTGTGTGTGTGTGTGTGTGTGTGTGTGTGTGTGTGTGTGTACCTGGATCAGTACAGCAGAGTGTGTGAGGGCGTCGTTGAGCATGGTCAGCACGTTGGATGAAGGTACGACTCCGGGGTCGTGACCCCAGGAGGTGATCAACAACCTGTCGTAGGACTGGATGGAGAGAAAAAACGGGTCACGGAAATTACTTTTCCACAGCTGCTAATCACTGAACCCAACGGCATCATGGGAGTACAGCTCATCACTCACCATACTGAGGTGAGTGATTACTAATAATGATAAGAAGGCTTTTCATATATTATTTAATATTTTATGTATTATTTCATATAACACTTAAAAGACTACCTCTGTCCTCTACAATGGTGGGAACATTTACTACATCATCTCAGTCAAAAACAAAGAAGGAAAGGAAACATCACTCCTCCATTCATCAACTTGTTGACGTTTCACTACGTCAAATAATGAAATCTCCACCCTGAGACTGATTTTACATGTCATGATGGCTTTCCCTAACTGAGACAGATCTTTTCCATGAAATAAAGGTATTAATTCTTCTCTGATTAGTTGATTATTTTCAGCTCTGAAAAGTGGTGAAGGAGGAAATCCTACAGTTACGTTTACCGTGAAGAAAAACTGTTCAATTTCTAAATAGAAAGACGAGTTTACAAGAAGTAGAAAAATACATGCTGCTATGTTCCAATAAAATGACCCATTTGCATGATATTACCTTTCGTCCCCTGAGAATTCACTTCATCAAATTCTCTTTTGTTCCCTCGTCGCACATTCCCAGGATAGTGAAAAAATTCCAAGGCCATCAGAAAGCCTTGGAGGGGGAAACTGCAGGTGCAGGGTTTGGTATGACTGTGATAGTGATGCGCGAGGTGCTTTGTTAAGAAATGAAGGTTAACGGGGAGGAAGGCAACTGCGTTGAATTTGACCTCCAGCGCTCTGATTACCAACTGAAACGGCAAGGTCCCAATTTAAAAGGGCAAGAATCAAAGGCAAATTCATTTCAGTTTTTCTATTTCAAGTAGTTTAAATTTGTTTTGCTTTGGGCTTTATGCCTCTGCTATGACTCACTAATATTCTTATATTTTGTTAGGATGCATATAGTATATAAGTGTGTTTTGCACAAAAGAAAAAGAAAAAGTGTCCAATCACATATTGAGCAGGCTCAAAATGTAGTTGTTCTTATCACATGTAGGGCTTTTCTTATCGGACTTCAAAGAGACTTTCTTTAGCTTATACAGCGTCTGTACGAGCATACTAAGTCAACTGTGGACCGACACTTATTTAACCAACCTGCCTGATTCAGTATTAGTCTGGGCTCACCTGGAATGTGTCCGGCAGTTTGCGGAGCCTGGAGCCTTTGGAGAGCAGCAGAGACGGCGGGCCTTGGCCGGTCACATGGTACAGGTACAGTTTGAACCAGATGGAGCTCACCTCAGGGATAGCGGGGCCAATGTGCTGCAAGGGAGAAACAAACATGTACACATGTGTAAGTGTACAGCGGCAGAACTAATGCACACACATGTCTACATCCTCACACGTTGTTTACATGTCATTTCTTACGTGAACGCAAATGGAAAAAAGCAACAGAGACAAAAGAGAGTAATTATCTCCGCCAGGAGGAATATGCGATCAACCGCATGTTGTGCGTGAGTCCGTAAGTGAGTGTGCACCTATGTGTCTGTCCACAGCAAACTGCATAATATTTTGGGTGGCCAGTTATGACTGCATGCTCAAGGACCTCTTGTGGTTGGTGTGACGCCACAACTTACAGCCCATTTCTGTCTAGACGGGAGGTTTGCCAATCGTGGATTGTATTCATTCAATCATACAATACAGCGGTGCTTGTTGCAGACACACCTGGCGGAGACCTGCACTCTACTGAGAGCACCATTCTAGTTGTGTCTGTGTCATTCTTATGTCGGAGAAGCAGAAATTGAAGCTGTTATAAGAGATGCGAGCAGAATATAGAGAAAATAATTGACTGAATTCCACTTCACGGAGTCCCAGCAGTGTGAGAATAAACAACAGCGTGAACAGCGCAACAAGAGTTTAACTTTCTTTCCCTCAGTCTCTCTGAGCACAGCTAGAAAGCTGGAGTGTGGCCAGGCAGAATAATTACCCATGAGCCTTGCCTCCCTTCCTCCCTCTCTCTCTCTTTGTGTAGCCTTGTTGTTGGGGGCAACTGCAGGCTGAGTGCCCACGAAGAACACACACACACACACACACACACACACACACACACACACACACACACACACACACACACAGATCACTCCGGGAACACAAGTGTGTACACACGGCAAAAGGGCAAACGCAATCAAATGGAGAACACACACACACACACACACACACACACACACACACCAGCACATGAAATGTCGACTAAAACACACACACACACAACTCTAAGACCTTCAACATTTGATCCAAAATCCCAGCAGGATGCAGTGTCCCTTCTGCTCTCCTTCCCTCCAGGCATCATACCTGAGGCGTGCAGCTGCTGATGGGCCTGATCTCGTTGCTCAGCGGCGCCATTGAGACCAGCAGCTTGTAGTTCTTGTTGAGGACACGGCTGCAGGTGGCCTGGTCCAGACCCAGCAGGCTCTCACAGCGCAGCATGTCCAAGGGGAATCCTAGTTGGGGAAAAACCAGGGGGACAGTTACAACTTCTTTACAAAATAGGCTGGGAACCAAGTGCTGAAATAACTGCATGGACAGTAGTATAATAGAAGTCAGCAATACTAGAACATTTTGGCTAGCTGTTTCCCCCCCGTTTCCAGTCTTTATGCTAAGCTAACTAGCTGTTGACTTGTAGCCTTATAAATACACACTGGACAGACATGAGATAAATCCTGTAAATGAATATGCTAAGTGTGGCTGCATCAAACAGTAACTGTAAAAGCAGAGTAACGGTTCTTTCTTCCTAGCCGTGGTGTTTAGAGGAGTGTCCTCTCAAAGGACACAGTGTAAACTCGGCATTCTTGCATTTAATAATCACTTCTTGCCTCCTAATTATACATCTAAGGGGTAAGAAGTGTCTATGATGTGCTCATGGTGATAATGTAATAATTAAATCAGTACAAGAGTCGAGTTTCGCAAATGCAAAGAACTGACAGAAACTCGGTAAAGCAGGTCAAGGACCAGATGTTTGTATTTATTCCACAACACAAGAGTGGAACAAACACTTGACGCGATGAGACTGCTGCTTCATACTGTATTTTCTAAAGGAGGTTTGGATGCTGATTTCTGTAATGCAATAATAATGAATTATTATCATTGTTATTAATACTATTATCAGTCTTTGTATCATTGCGGGTTTAGTTCGCTTCTCAGCAGCCTCCTGCAGCAGCAGCTGAAGACAACTGAGCGATAAGACAATCAGAGATGAGGCGCCCTGCCAAACCAAACAAATGGCATCTGGTGGCTACATGGAAAACTCAGAGATTTGCTTTGTCATCGTTGGAGGACTAACTCTCTCCCGCTCCCCCTCAAGACACCAGAAGAACAATACAGCTTCACTGTGGAGTGACAGGAATACACAGTATGACCATTTTCAAGGAAAACTATTCAGACACAGATGAGGGGAAACAGACAGCCAAGAGCGACAGAAGATTGCCAAATGCAGCACAAACAGAAGATCCATTCCCTCTTTGTTGCTTTCAAAATGTTCCCATAAATAGAACTTTTAAATGCTTCATTACATATTATTGAAGACCGCAGAACAAGTTTAAGTAGTTGAATAGGAGACATTTACAGGAGTTTTTCGCCGCAATCATGGTAATTATAGCTCAGAATATCGTTTCAATAGTAGAGAGACAAGATGAAAATTGGGAGAAAGTGTTAGCTGCTGATTTACTGAAAAGTAGTGTCAGTTATCCCCCAAAAATCTGACTTTTACTCAGATTCTTTGCACAATTCATATTTAGTTTTTAATGCTTCGATAAATAGAAACATTTCTGTTTGTCACTGATGACAAACAGGGATGCTGCACGTCCCAGCTCTCACCTTAAATTTCTCTCTGATTCATATTCGCAGATTTGAAATGTATTTTTTAACAACCATAAAAAGATGTTGGCTGCATTTGTGTAAAAGATGATGTCAACTGGCTAAATACTTACTAATAAGCCCAAAGGGGACTGTGTGCAGACAGCAGACAAAAATATGAGTTTCTATTTCATTAGTCTGCCGTTGTAGGCGACGGCAAATCAGAACCTAAAACCAAAACCAGCATGCTAGCTGTATAATAACACGCAAAAACAAATCTGTGCTCCAAGCTGCCTGTTTACCACATGTATAAACATGTTTAGGTGTATGACACCTGGATCTTGCATGTATTTGCCCATGAAGGGGATGACAAAGAGGGCGTAACTGTATAATTACCTATATTTGGGATGTCAGGCCCCTGGTCCTGAGAGAGTTCTTTGTTGTAGCGTAAGAAGAGGATGGTGTTTTTCAGGGTCAGAGCGTGGTCAAAGTAGCGCTGGGCCTCGCCCTCCGCTGTGCTCTCCACCTGAAACCAGGAAATACATTCAAGTTGAGTGTATACCTGTGAAAATGTACACGTCGACCTATAATGTATTTTCTACTTTGATTTAGTATCCTCTGGTGTTTCATGACGGAGGCTTTACTAGATACACTAGCAAGTCTCTGTTTCCATTGCTGGTCTCACCTTCTCTAACTCAGCCAGGAAGCTGTCCAGAGTCTCATCAGACAGCTTACCCACCTCAAACATGGTCACTGCATGACTCTTCAGGTTCTGATAGGAGGGCACAAGGGGGAGGGATCATTTGTTAAAGAATAATTCTGTCCCTATTAAGCCTTCTGTGCATTTTCTCATGTGCACATCCAGTCACTAACCGGAGACAGGTTGCCCATCATGAGGAAGGCTGTGAGAGTGGAGTCAAAGAGGAAGGCAATCCTCTTTGTGGGTGCAGCTGGGATGCTTAGGCTGCTTACGCTTCCTGTGTCTGCTACAAAAGACAGAAAAAATATATATAACAAGAGCAATACCACTCTGCCACAACATCAATGCATGTAGTAGCACAACGGCTACGTTGTAGCATTCATAAATGGAGGATATGAGCTTTTAAATTCATGAAAATTAAATGTGTTTACACAGACCAACCAAAACCACGCCTCTTCCTCAAATAATTTAAATTGAATATAAAAATGTAAATGTGGTTGTCGAAAAGCGACTTTGTTAACATCCAACTTGTTAGTCTGAGCAACAGTCCCGCTTAACATACATAATAAAGTCAAACAAAAACACATTAATGTGAGAAGTTCTTTCAGAAGCATGGCTGAGCTTTCTTGGTGATTAATTAGCACAACTGCTTCAAGATGCGTATGTATCCGATTACACAGCAACATCTGTGTGTGTGTGTGTGTGTGTGTGTGTGTGTGTGTGTGTGTGTGTGTGTGTGTGTGTGTGTGTGTGACCACACGGACCTTCTTCCAGACTGGTGGTGTCGGTGTCGGTGGCTGAGGAGCCTCCCTCCATGACAGGACTGCCCTGCTCCCAGGACAGCAGCATCTTCTGAGGGTCCATGGTGCTCCTAACACAGAGGACAGAGCCACAGTGAAACCACAATCAAACCAAGCATAGCGGTTTATTAAATTAAAATGAATCAAATAATTTAGATAAATGATATGTCCTGATTAAGAGCTTAAAGGATTTACTAGGTGGACGAGAAGACGCTGGTGACCCCAGTTGTAATCTTCACACCAGTGTGAAAAAAAAATAACCAGAAACATTTCAACATTGTTTACGACATTTTTAAGGGAAAAATACTTCTAAAAATGTAAAATAAACCAAGTTTATGGGCAAACATGGTTCAACACATGGCGCCACTTCCAGCTGTATTCCAAGTGGTGAATGGTTGGTATTGGCCTCCTGCACATACCTGAGTCTGTTCACAGACGGAGCGTTCTTCCAGGTAGGGTGGAGCTGCTCTGGGCTGATCACATGACCCTTCTTTACAGCGAAGCCGAGACGACAGTACATGGAAACTGCATTCTGATGAAGCACATGTAAAAACACAGTCAAAAAGACGTTTGGTCCACAGAGACACTCTTTCACTGTCATATATCCTCAACCTGTGACCTGTCACCCTGTTGGACTGTCACTACTGAGCTGAGTTATACTTCAGGTGAGGATAGACAAAGATAATGGGGAATGAAAAAGAATAGAGACTAAAAACAATGTGATCAGCTTGATTGCTTTCAACGCCTCTGAGGTGCAAGCTGAGCTCAACTCTTAGCCCTCCTCTTATCATATCAAAAGAAACAGAGCGAAGTGACTCAGGCCGTGAGGTAGTCATTACATAAGAGAAAGTTCAACTTGAAAAGTTCTGCACAAAGGAGACCTCTCAGACATCTCAATCATCTCTGAAGTTACAGGGTTTCTCCTGGAGAATGGCAGCAAACCACTTCAGCCACTTCTCTTAAGTGCTGCTATCCAGCAGCAGGAATTGAAATGACTTCGGCTCTTCACACTGGAAGTCAAAACACCGAGAGGGAGTTTGGCTCTGTGTCTGATAGGGAGCATTTAGGAAATTTGGGG